AGCATTTAGGTCAGATCAATGTGCAGGATCTACATCTCACCCATCAATAAACTCCAAAATAGCTCAAGCAATAAAGCTGCATATTATTTGTAACATGCAGGATATGACATTATTGTATATTCCTGGTCTCCTAACCATGGCAAGATGCTGCACCCTCATGACAGTATCCATCACTCAAATTGCTTCAGCATATTCTGGAAAACTCCAGTCTTCCAACTAAAACTGCTGCCTTGCTAAGGAAAGGGGGAAGCTCACAGGATGCTTTGGAGATTATAAAATGGAACAAAAACTTTAGGAAGGTCTTCAGGTAAGGAGCCCCCTTCACTTGCAGAATAAAGGCTACATACCAGGAACATGAACTAAAATGCACAAGAGAGCCATCCAAATATCCAGGCAGTGATCACAACATCGAGTTGGCAGCCTCCATATAACAGCATTCCAAGTCAAAAAAAAACTAAAGTCAAATCAATCTCTACCTGCAGATCTCCCTTGTAGCACAAACTGGAATCCTAACAGCAAGTATTTTAGTTCTAAAATAAACAACTGCATATATTTACTGCTCCTAGTCCCTCCTTGATTCATACACTAGAAAAAAGGCCTCCAAGGCATTAATGAAAGGATTCATGTTGCAGTCTTACAAAAGGAAAAATTGAGTTGTTGCCAATCTTTTTTTTTTTTTAAACAAGCACCATCTTGGAAGTGCAATTAGCAGCTAAAAGTACATGTTAAGCATTTAAACAGGTTTTTCTTTGGGACCTGCCTAAGCGTTTGTAAACTCTTGTTTGAGACGTCAGCTGCAGAAATTGCTCCATGTAGAAACTGTGAGTGCAGGTCCCCAAGCTTATGCCAAGACTGCCTTGTTGAGTGGACTTGTACAACCCAATTTAAATGTAAGAACATAAATTATGTCACTTAACACAATGCTAATAATCTTGCAGGGTATTGTACAATAATCACACTTCCAAATGTGAAGCACAAACACTTTAGAAGGAACAAAACAGATTAAACCCTGCAGTGACTCAGTTTGAGCAATTTATGCATAAAGCTTTCAAAAATACACCATGGAGAAGGCTAAATTTAGACTGGAATCAGTAATGTCAGTATTTTGACATGGGAAGTAGTGTAAAGCCTCAATATACAGATTGAAAACCCTATACACTTTGTATGCAACTGGGCATGGGTCAACCTGTGCCTCATGCAACCAGGACTAAAATCTGGTGGTTGGTTGGGACTGTTGTGAATATTCTTGTGGTGTTTTAAGGTCACCAGCAGCTTCTTAAAGCTCACCATATACAACTGTAATCTTTCAATACTATATGTATTTCCTGAAAATAAAACCCCTATAGAAATAAGTGTCAATTCTTGTACATCCCTTCAGTTCCGAAGACTGAAAGGCATCCTCATTCCTAAAGATTCTGTGTAGCATCTTTGCCTAATGTGGCCCCATTTGAGACTAGGATATAACAGTCAAACTGCACACACACTAGTGTACAGCCAAAAGGACATGACAAAACCAAGTAATAATAATTTAAAACTCAACAGTCTGTTAGCAAGCAGAACCAGGGCCTCTGCAACAGGGACTGCACAAGTAGATGGAAGAATTCTGGTTCACCACATGGACTCCTGGCATGGTGGTGAACCAAACAGTATGGCACAGTGCACTACAAACACTGATATTTAAGTATTTTTGGTAATAGATTAACAGAACCATTTTTGTTTATACGGCCATGATTTCAAACATAGATTCTTTTGTTCATATTTTGGGAAAGAATTTTTAGTTTGCTCAGTCTTGCAACCATTTTAAAGACAGCGGTTTCCATCACAAACATTGCACTTGGTTAAAAGGTCTTCCTAGTATCTAGTACAGCCCTATCTTGAAAAGGTACTGTGGTCATTCAGTTTGTGACCCTTCATAACATGTTTTCAAGTCTTCATGTATAAAATGTCAGATGTATTTACCTGCCCAGGCAGTATTACAGTTTCATCTATCTTTGTATTTCAGTTCTTCCTCTAAAATTCAAGCACAATAAACAGCCTGAACATGAGACTGTATTCAGAGTTCAACTTCAGAATGCAAACAGAAAAGAGATGCATGGCAGGATCCTTTTTAAACATGGGCTGATCCAAGTGATTCAGGTGAAAAGTGAACAAAGAGTTAATCCAAATGCGAAGGGCTCCATTTCAGTAATAGCATGAATAAACCCCCACAGAAGGCTCCATTGCTAGCAGCAAACTCCACAGAGTCCAGATGAACCAGCAGGAAGAACAGAGGGCGGATAATCCTGTAAAATTACCCCAGTGGAAATGTTGATAAATTCCCAATTACGAGACCTGCTCTAGAATGAAAAAAAATGCAAGATACAATACAATTACCAGTCAACACTTGCACATCTTTGTATTTAAGCCAGACAAATACCACAGGTATTTCTTAATCCCTCGGATTTTGAATTAGTTACCCACTGTGGCGAAATCTAGATTATGAAAAAAAGCCCCAGAAATCAAATGAAAAAACAGGCAATCTGCAACTCTAGTTACAAAGCAAATACCCATCCATGAAGTTCTATTTTCAGTAATACAATTTGCTATGCATTTGTGGAAATACAGATGGCTGTATTAAAAAACAAACAAACAAAAAAACAAAATAAACTAAAACTAAAAACCAACAAAACCTTCAGCTTACTGCATTTGTTTTGAATATACTTCTTATACTACACAAAGCAAAGCAGCACAGAATCAGGTTGGAGAAGATCTCTAAGATCATCGAGTCCAACCTAGGACTACAACCTAGTAGGTTTCCTATGAATTTTTAATGTTCGTGGAAAAATTGCTGATAAAATATGTGTTCACCATAGATACCAAGACAGAGACAGGTGCATTAAGTATCTCCTTTTTTAAGCCTTGTCTAATCCCAGGCTTATAGCTCTCCATAAAATTCTGGAGGAGGAAAGCCTGTCCTGTGAGCCCCAAGACGGAGCGGGGGGTGCGGGAGCTGCCCACCGCCCGCTCCCCCGCACGATGCGGTTCCGCAGGCAGCGCAGGCGCTCATTCCCCGTGCCCCAGTCGAGGCAGCGACCCCGTTCGGACACGGAACGACGGACGGACCGCTACAACCCCGATCCCAGCCCCGGCGCCCCCCGCCCCAATTCCCTCTGTTTATCCCTGCATGCGCCTGTCCCGCGGCCTCCCNCCGCCCGCACTGCGCGCACGCTCCGCGGCCGCGGAGGGAGCCGGGGAGGGGGCGGCAGGGCCGGGGGGGCCGCGGGGGGATGCGCAGGGAGGAGTTTGGAGCCTGTTTGGGGGTACGGCCGCAGGAACGCGGCGGGGGGAAAAGTGGGGGAAAGTAACCAGTGGCTGCGGTGTAAGGCTCGAAAGCCGTGTAAATGGTCTGTGGCAGGGAAGGGGTTCCTAGCAGGAGCCCAAGGAAGGAGAATGGGAATAGTTACTTGTTTGGAAAAGAACTTTTAAATTCGCCTGCAAGAGCCCAAGTGGGGAACTCAGCCTTGAAGCGGATGAGCTCAGATATGGTGCAGGTGATAGGCCGGACACCTTCTTGAAAACAGAACATTTCTTCTATGTCCGTGTCTTTAATGGTAAACCAGTCCCTCGGATCCTTCACTGTGACATGCTCAGGAACAATATTTACTGTGAAATGTCCCCCAGTATCACCAGCAGCACCTTTCTGAAATTCAGATTGCAGCTAACATCATTTTCTTCATGAACTGATTATTGGGTGCAAACCAAGATATTTAGAAAAATAAAGTACATTCTTATTAAATGTTATTACTACTGTTGCTGTACAGCAAGAGTTCATGATGAGCGATGCCAAGTGAAATGATGGTGGGGAAGTGCCATCCATGGTGTAATATTAGCAAAGCTCCTAAATAATGACTTCCAAATTAAAGATTTTGTCCGTTTTTCAGAGAGTTGAAATGCTGAAGCATTGATGATGCTGCAGCAAATGAGCACTTGGTACGCACCACTTCATCCAAGGGAGTAGTGAAGACAAAGACACTGTCCCAGATACAGAACCCTGTTTCTGATCCAGGAAAGCTGAATAGGAATTGAGGCCTCCATTTAGGTATAACTGGATATGTATCTGGAAATAAATGGCACTTACAACTGTTGTGCAGCGAGGCATTCTCTTTTAACATAATGTGAAAGAGGATGGTACCAGGTCCAGCTTCTGAGGAACACCACTGCCATCCATCGAGGCCAATACTTTGAAAAACATGACCTTGGCATGCTGCGGACCAAACCTGCTCACAGAATGTCCTCCCTAGAAAGGCTGACACTCGGCTGGAAATAATCCTCCTATACTTCAGATTTCTGTTCAGCCTTATCATATCATATATCTGAAATGCTCTTGGATGATAAACTATCTCCTCCCCACATGGTGCAGTCCTGTGCTAAGATATCCGAGCCTGCTCCATTACGGATGTGCACGGGCTGCGGCAGAATGCCGTATCTGCTTCCCCGTGTTGGCTGGCTCTGGAGAGCTGACAGTCATTCAGAACTAACTCAAGTAGCTCTACATGTCATTCTCCTGCACTGCATGTCTTTTCTTTCCGATAAGCAGATGTCCTACACATTCTTCAGTTAATACTTTCTGGGTCAGATATGGCCTCAATAGACTATATCGTTTTGCCCAGAGCTAATTCTCCAAAAGCAGTAGGAAAGTCTTTGAATTCATTGCAGGATTTTCCAGGAATTGCTGCTTAGCAAAGAAAATTCAGTTGATCATAAGTATCTCAAAAAATGCTTGCAAGGAACCTTCATTCCTCAGGGATGGATGCTGGGGTAATATTACATTAAACATGGAAAGGTCTACTCACAAAGGCCTTCAATGCTGCAAGTGGAGAACAAATGGCAGAAAATACTGTAATTCTCAAATAACCGAGCTAAGCAAATGAGAACATTACAGAAAATAATTTAAAAGCAATTAAAAATAATTCTGCCGTTTTGCTTTATTATATAGATTAACAAGAGATCGCAGCAATTTGGCAGATTTCAAGTTAGTGAGCTTTATTATGACTTTACAGTTTATTAATAAAAAACCAGCAATATTTGAAGAGCTTAAAGTTACAGCTTTTTATCTCAACATTTTTTTTTTAACTGGCAGCTTTTGTGGTTTGAAAGAGCAGAATGAAATAAAAACAGGTATGTGGGGTTGTTTTTTTTAGAAACTGTTATGTTCCACTGGCTTTCCTGTGCAGCAGTGCTGTTGCTCATCTGTACATCTGATTAACTTTTGCTCTCTGAAAGTGTTATCAGACCTGTAACCAGGCAAACAGCAGAGCAGATGGCCAGTGCCAGTATCGGTGTTTCTGGTCTGGGTGCTTAATGAGATCTGAGAGTGTAACATGATCCTCTTTCATTTTGTCTGTCTCACATGGCAGATATACTTGGTGCAAGTGCTCTGGTTGCTCAAGGTCACAGATTCATCAATCAAAAGAGAGCCCTTTCTGTTAATCTTTTACCTGCCCATGACAGTTCCATACATCTCAGGAGCTCCCACGTCACACTGAGTGCTGTTGTCCTGAGTTTGGGACAGTAGTGCTGTGAAAGACAACCAGGTTAGGCAGGAGTTAGTCACTGTTTAAAACACAACATTGATGTACTGTACTCTGAGGGTAAGTTTTCATTCATTAACTCTAAACCAAAAATGCCTTTTTGTGCTATGGAATAAGCCTTCAGCTAATCTCCCATCCCACACAATTGCGTGTCCCACACTATGAAAGTGAATATCCTACATTTCTCACCTTACACTTGGAGATAGAAGTATTTGCTGTGAGTGGTTTAAAAAATCTCAGTAGCCCTCACCATCTCCTCTCTGAATGTGCACATCCGAGGCTGGAGCTGGGAGTGTGCCTGGGAGGCCTCAGTTGGTCCATTTGACCAACACTTACAGCTGGTTTGAGGTTCTTGTGCCTCTGTGCACTGGCAGAGGGATGTGAAACTTGTGGTAGAAAGTTGTCTTTGTGGCTGAGCAATGGTACTTTTTTGCTTTATTTAAATTGCTAATTTTGGTGAAGATATACTCTTGAAATATCTAGCACAGCAGAGGCTTGTTTGACTTCTAAGTTCTTTGTAGTGAAGGATGTCCTTCATCCTGCACGGCTCACGCACCACCCCATCCTGAGGGAGAGCAGGCACAGAGGGGTCGTGGCTTGTGGGACCTCCTGTGCCTGGGGTTACAGAAGAGGTGACCAAAGAAAGGTTCGGTCCTATCCAGTCCCTCACTTTCTGTGCCCAGGAAATGTGACAAAAGCGATGTGACTGGAGTCAGGAAAGGAACTGGGGAGGAGAGCACAGTTATGGTAAAGCAGGGGAGATAACGAGGAGGAAGGAAGGAGTAACTGGGAGATGGAGAGGGATCCCAAGTAGGAGGGCAGAGCCTAATTATGGTCTGCATTTTCAGTCTGTGTGGGTATAGATACAGGGATCTGAGCTGCAGGATGGCTTCCATGGCTGTTGAGATCAGTGGGATAGCTGCTCTGAACATGGCATATGCCTAAAATGACAGGTAGTCTGAAAAATGAAGACTTGGAGCACTCATATTGTGCTTCTGAAATCATTGCATTTTTAATGATTTCAGCCTTAAGTTTTATGGCCTGTTCTCCATCTACTGAGTGAGTGTAAGAGCATCTTCTTTCACAGCTGGATAGTAAAGATAAATCTTTGATGTTTATTGAGCATTAAAACTACAGTGAAAGCTCCATACAAAAAGCATTGAGGCAATTAATATTCCTGCTTTCCTCTGCATGGAATGGAGTTCAGTACTTTCCGGAAGACCTGTATGTAAAAAGGTAATTGAAGTCTCCCCTTATGCATATCCACAATGGAGATGAATTCAGGAATTTTAATCCTGGGATGGCACAATTTGTAGGTAAGGGCTTTGCGGCCTTAGAATTACTGTAATATGCATTGCTAGACAAAAGTGGAATAAGTACTTTGAAAGAAACTGAATATGATCAAAAGCTTTCTGACTAAAAATATCTGCATTTTAGTAGGAAGACTTCCACAGTGAGAATAGTTCCTAACTCTTTTTTTGCCAGTTATGGATATTACTATATAATTCTGCCTATCACCACCTGAGGTGCTTGTGTACTATGTTTAGATGACTCTTAAAATTATTTAGATATTTGATAAACTGTCAGGATTGCAGCAGTTTAAAATGTGCATTGAATCTTGCTCTCAAGCACGCAGGTCTGTGGAGCACTGAGTCATTAATACTTCCAAGTGTGTACATTTGTGCTATACTGTAGCAGTGAAGTAACAGATCTAAGAATGACATAATTCTTACTTGTCCTAATCAAATATTAAAATCTGAAGGCTGTTAAGAAGCTGGATTTATGAACCATGATGTTGTTTACCTCATTGCCATTTTTCAGACACAGACTGATTCTTGCACGTTTTTGTTCCTAGAATCACCTCTCCAACTCTTGGTCACCTTTCTCCAAGAAGATATCCATCTTTTCATATTAGAACTAAGTTGATAATATGAAAATGTTAATGGTATCACCTGCCTGCATTTATTAGATAGGCAGAGCTCTTAGTTTTATTCAGAGCTCTGCAAAAAGAGCACAAGGCTTTGACTTTAACAGCAAAAGCTTTTATGTATGTGGGTGAATAGAGCAAATTGCTATGAAATACCTGAATGCCCAGTTATGGAGTCACAGCTGAGAGGTTAAATGCCAAATAAAGACGTTGTTGGTGTAAGATGGAAGGGTTCTCTTTAGTGGAAAGCCAGTGTTCAAACTACCCGTCTAGATCTTTGGTGTTTTCTACGATATCCTCTTCCCTTTGTACCCATTTTGGCGGCTTTTTCCCCTTCCTCTGTCAGCATCTTATTTTTCATCTTTATTCATCGTTGCTTTCTAAGCTTTTCTCTAGCAACAGAAACATATTTACTTGCAAGCTGATCCCATCTGTGCTCCCGCATTGTCAAGCTTCCCCCTGCCGTGGCACTGCATGTCTGATGGAGTTTCATGCGATGGGTGGGAAGCTCCAGCCTTCCGGAGTGCCAGGATTTCACACCGTGGATCAGGCAGGCAGGGCACTGCTGACTGGGCATGGGTTCTTATTAAAAAATAAAAAAGAGGGTGGGCAGTTTTTCTTGTGTAAGAAAATGCAATAATACTGTAATCATTTGTTGCCTGACCATTCACTGAAATGGAAGAGTGTTGAACTTTTAATTTAATTGGGTCTCTCGTGCTTGCACTGCTTCCTGCTCATGAACCAGAATATATGAGGACTATAACTCAAATATACAGTAAGCTGTCCCTGCTGCAGACTCATCCCTTGCAAATTAAGTAGGATCAGGACTCAAAAGAGATAACTAAGGAGACCTATGTCCTAGAGGAAATTACCGTGAATTACAAAATGATGGTTTCTCTCTTAATAAAAAATGAACTAATGCTCCAGTGTGACACTATGGAACTCTTCAGTTTATAAAGGTACTGTCTTTCAGGAAATATATATGTTAATCCAGCTGTCATGCATAAATTCTCATTTGGGGCCTGATCTAATTCCCATTGAAGTAAAGATGGACTCAATCTACTTAAATTTCTCCATGCAGTTTCACGGCTTTCCACTATCTTCATCTGTGTATCACATTACTGTGTGTGGGTAGAGTTGCCACATTCCACCCATGACACAACTGTTTCAGTGGCAAGTGAAGTGATACGTGCATATGGTACACACAGGCTTTACACAAACCGTATGCTTTCAGACAGCTATCTGTGTAATTGGGGGACGCTGGAGAGGCTTCCTGAAGAAAAAGCCCATTTGCTACATCATGAGAAAATGTATCAAACTTTGTTTATTATCCCCATGGCCTTATGTTTGATATTTGAGGGACAGGATGAGTGATTTATTGTTTACCTTTCATAAATTAGCAGGTCAGATTAATTACTTTGAATGACAATAAAATGGTTGCACGAGGATTTTTGGAATCAATCCCTTAATATTATTATTTACTGTGTCAAATCTTAGGCCCAAATTTTGCTTATTTAATATTGAGCAACTTCATAAAATTTCCAGTTACAGTTATACATAGTCTTCTTTACGCAATGTGTTTCACATTTCCAAGATGTTGAATGTCCTCATTGCTAAATGTTTTGTGTAGGAAATGATTATTATTTATCTGAAGAATTTTGGCTAAGAAGGCTAAAGCCCACCAGAGAATTTATAAAGTACACTTTAATCTTGAGGCTATTACAGGCCTACTATTTTTGTTGGTTTTTTTTCATTGGTGGTTGCAAAAAAAATTAGAAAATGACTGAAGAAATTTAGCTGGTAGTTAAGTGTGACTATTTCTATATTATCTGAATTGACAAAATACTTTCCTTAGGACATCAGGTATGCAGAGAGAAGGGAGAACATAGTGTTGGGTCAAACACCAGCACAGCCAAAATAATTAAAAATGAAAACTTTTCAGCATCTCATGGAGCTATGCATTAGGTTGCTCCCCACCTGTCAGGCCAGATCCATTTCTTTGGGACATGCTGGAGTAGGATCACCCAAAGTTGTGTGGGCACATCCGTGTGTGTGAGCTGCTCACGGCAGGATGCCCCTCCACTCAGAGGAGGCTGCACTACCTTGGGGCTCTAATTTCCTTTTGAAGGCTTTGAAGGCAGGCATTGGGGCTGAGGAGATGAAACTGGAAGAATTTTGTTTCCAAGCACTGGGAGACCTCACTGAGCTGGAGGAACGCAGGGTACTCACTGCTGCAAAGGTGGGGGGTGACCCGGTGTCTGCAGCCATGCCAGCTAAAAGGCTGCACCACGGAACAGCTTCTGCTCAGAAAAAGGGTGAAAATCATTGCCTGCTTCCCAGGTGATCACTGCAGGTGACAGCAAGAAAATTTGTCTAATGTTCACAACTGGTGACTGGTGTGGTACATTAAAGGCTTTTCCACTCCTTCCATAATATTAGGCACTTTGAATTAATGTTCCTGGAAGGGACAAAATGCCAGGTTGTACAAGCCACTGATCTGACCTGCTGTTGTTTCCTCTGTGTCCAGAATTGTTGGTCTGCAAGATTAAAAAAAAGGACAAAAATTTGTCAGACAAAAAAAAATCGAAGTGTTTGAGCCTAATTCAGCAGGCTCAGGATAAATCACGTTTCCCAAAGTGTGGCTTTCAATATCAAGCCTACTCCTGAGGAACTGGCAAATGCTCAACGAGCACAACACGAAGACAACTGGCAGCCTGAGTCATTTTCACATGTGATTGTTGAATGTGACAGATTGAGAATAGCAAGGAGTACGAGTTCATGCTATGAGAGTGAAGTAACCCAGCATCCGCTCGCTGGCTCGAGCCTACAGAGAGATGTGGAGTGCTGTGGCAGAGAAATGCCATCAAGGCTTAGGAAAAATGGGTTTAACACACATGTTGTTTTCTTCCTTTGCTCATTTTTATTTCACCATAGAATGTTTCTTTCTTGTCTTCATGGCAGATGGAAAGTAAGAGAAAAACCTTGACATGTTTGTAAAGTCTGGATTGACATAAATTTATTTGCCTTTTTGCTTTTTCTCTGATTACCTTTTGCCTTTCTGCTTTTACTGATGCTGCATTGGCCTTTTTATTCCATTGCTCCAGCATGCTGGCTGTGCAGAAACGGTTTCAGATAAAACTGGGGTACACTGGCTTATGGAAATCATCACTTCCAAACCAACCTGGCGGGGCTTCCTTTCAGAGCAATCTGTAACAGGCTGGGGAAGTCTGGGGGAATTACTGATGAAGTATCTGCTGCAATCCAACCTTCTGTTGCAGTTGATCAGGCTATTATATCTGAATCATTTATTAATTAAATTTAGCCACACCTCATTTTGACACACTTCCTTGGAAAAGGCAACTTCTTACCAATTCTTATTCAGGAT